CTTTGCCCTGTTCAACCCCAGGGAGTTTCTGCAGTGTGGCACCAGTGGTCCTTGCAGGGGACAGATCGTGTGATTCAAACAGAGCAGCAGGTAGCTCAGACGTCTCCTCACCTGTCAAAAGCCACCATACTGGAGGCTGAGGGCACTGCCTCTTCTGGGGGGGATCTGTGGGTGCTCAGTGGAGGAACTTTTTCTTGTCAGGGTGCTGCTGTGGGTCTCTGCGCTGTGCTGGGCTGGCCAAGACCACACCAGGGCAGTGTGGTCTGATGCATGCTGTTTCCTTCAGTTCCACTCCTGGTCTTTCTGTACAGCGGTATGGTAGAACAGATCTCTATCAGAGAGTGCATTCATGCCGATGCAGAGGTGGACATTCGGGGAGGTGTTAGGTGTTGCAAGGGAAAATTGCTTTAAGGGGCTAGGTTCACACCTTCACTTGGGCAGCAGTTTATGCAGTTTATGGCCACATAAGCAGAGCAGTTACAGACCCCATGCGGCTCGTGCATCAGGGCATCCCCCTTCCTGCCCTCCCTCCTTCATGCCCATGCTTTCAATAGACCTTCCTTTCACTGGCAACAGATGGAGGAGCTTTGCAAAGGAGGCAGCCAGTGCCACTGCTAGAGATGTTCTTGGGCCCTCTCCTCTAGGCAGCAGCCTGCAACTGTTTACAGAGGAGTATTAATACTAATATTAAAATAGATGTATATTAATCTTTGAATAGCTTCCCTAGGTGCTGCTTATATGAAGCAATTCAAACAAAGCTGGACAAAGTAATCTCAGAAAGGACTGGCTGCAGGACTGAAAATGATACATGTCTCTCTCTAAGTGCTGGGAGAGCTTTCACTTTCCTGTTTGTGGTGACTCTGGAAGCACACAGGTCAAACGCAGCAGTGTGGAGCACTGTGTGACTGTGCAGCGTCCCCAGTCCCCAGACTGCGGGTCCCTTAGCATCACGCGGGGCAGACCGCCAGGTCCCAGCCATGGCAGGCATCCTCCCCCATCCGCATCGCACATCTGCATGCCAGTGTGCCTGGCTCAAAGGAATCTTGCACCTGAGAAAAAAACAGATGTGTATATGTGGGCAAGGCTCTGGAAAATTATGTTTGCAATGCTCTGCTATTGCTTGTCACTGCTGTGCCAAGGCCACCACTTTTGGAGCCCTGGTGTCCTTCAGGCCAGAGAGGGGAGATGGAGCTGTAGAAGGGCCTGCTGCTTTCCAGCAAGGAGAGCGTGCCAAGGCTTTGTGACCTCTTTTTAAATCCATTGTGTCCCGCTCCCTGAGGAAAGCTAGTACTTCACTGCTTTCTGCAGAGCCAGTGTCAGGGCTATCTGTGGTGTGAGGTGGGGGACCAGCACATATTGGTAAGGCCAGGGTGCCAAGTATGACCTGACCAAGGGTAAAGCACTGGATTGGATCCCTCATTTCTACAGGGTCATGCAAAACTCCTGTCACAAAACAACATCACTAAGCCCTGTAAGTAATGTAACTGAACATTTACCTGTACTGTAACGGCTGTGCATAAGTGATCCCCACTTACACAAAATCAATGTGGAGAAAATGCAGGTATGTTTTAATGACTGCCAGGACTAGGGAGATTATATACTCTTTTATTTGTTTACTACCATTTTTTTTCAGAATTAGTCTCAGGCAACATCCTCTAAATCAGGCCTATGAAGCACAATAGACTTATGCCTGCTAAAAGAAAACACAGGCTCCCCTGTTATTAATGTGTAAAGCCTAGAGATGAAATTGCTTCTGTATGATGATCTATTTTGGTGGACCATGTGTGCTTAAATCCCAGCCATGATCTTTTAAACTATCAAGTCTGCCATAAATATTTGATGATGAACAAGCTCATAAAAAGATAATGCAGAATATGAATAGAGGGAGAGCAAATGTGTGATCCAACTTTTAATTACATCACCTTACTCTGAAGTCAAGTTCATCTTCTGCAAGAGACAGAAAGTAACAAGTTTCTTTCTCACCATAACCTGATCTATCAGCATCACATTTATTTGCATTTTTTTAAGGAAAAGGATAAATCATCATAGAAACAAAAGAACCAGGACACAAGAAATAAGGTAGAACAGTCTGGTTTTATTACCATATGTAATCAAGAGCTTTTATTTCCCCTTTTCTTCTCCTCCTCCTTTCTTTTTTTTTTTTTTTTTTTTTTTTTTTCTTACAACATACATTAAGTTGTGAATCAGACGTTAGGGAGATGTGGAAATGAAGGGAACTTGGTGACATCACAATACTTTACAACTCTACAACGAATGAGAGTCTGAATTTGTTGCATCTACCAGTGTATAGCAAGGGTGGAAAGCAAAGGCACACATAGGTTCATGAACCCCTCAAAACAGAGGGTGGAAGGGAACTGGGGATGGGAAAGGAAGAAAACAGAAGACCTGCTGAGTACAAATGCACATTTCAAGGTCAGCCCGGTAACTGGAGCGGTGTATGTCGCGAAAGCAGATCGCTGCACAAGCTGTTGCTGTGGTTATTCGTCTCTATGTTTCGGGAGAATGCTTTGCGGGATAGAATCAAGGGGACCTGTGCAGTTGGTGGTCCAGGGGTTTGGAGCTTGGTAAAAAGTTTGCGAGTTGGTTCTTTTTAAAAAAATGACCTTGCTACCTACTGTTTTCAAAGGGGTTTCTGTTTGTTTTTATTAAAACAACAACATTGCTTTGGATACAGATCTATCTACTCCAGTCTGCATAGTTCACTAAGGGTGAACAAAACTGTTTCATAAAAGAAGCCATGATGAAATGCAAAAACATGCAAGCACCCTTGTTACACACTTTGGTCTAGACCATCCAGACTTTATATATACCATCTATAAGCTAATGGACTTAAAACCTGTCTTTTCAATCGTTCAGAAACAAAACCAAAACCCTGAAAAACAAATGGAAGTATAAAATTTTAAAAAACAAATTGAAACAGAAACAACCACCTTACTCAAACATACTGTTCAGTAGAGATATATATATATATATATAAAAAGCTTAGAAGCGATCCCCATCATTTTTCTACAGTATGTTGACACAGTTATTGTAACAGATTAAAAACACATCTATGTTTTTGCATAAACTGAAAGACTGGAAAGGAACTTACACACTTGCGCGCACACACACACACGCACACACCTGTGCGCGCGCACACTCCCACACTAGCTACATGCACAGTCACACAAAAGAAACGAAGGAAAAAAAAAATAATCCATTTTTCCCCAAAGAAGTATATGCAGCATCCTTCTGGAGCAGCAGGTAGCTACAGCAGGAGCCTGCCTGCCTGTCCTAGCTCCATGTGCCCTGCGTGCTGCAGGATGCGTGGCCAGGCTTTCTGCAGGGCTTGGCCCCTCTTGCTGGTGCTCATCCCCAGCTGAGGGACACACCAGCCCCGTGGGCAAGAGTGCTGGTCACTTCCCTGCTGCCCAGTGAGAATGACCCCTACACTGTCGTGCGATAAAGGGGGAGCAGGAGGTGGGGGAAGGCAGAACCTCTGGCCTGGTGCCTTGGGAGCATTGCCACTTGTGGGTGCTTTTGAGAGAGGACTTGGCACAGCTAGAAAGTCAAATCGATAGTAGAGGGTATGGCGGTAGCCTAATTTCTTGAGCGACACGGGGTTATGACAATAACCACCACGTTCTTTTTTTCAATGTCTTTACTCCAGTTCTTGAAGGGGCTTGGAGGAGGAAGGATCAATAAATATTTGCATTACTCAAAGGGGAAAAAAAAAAAGGTTTTACATACTACAGCTCACAAGTATACACAACTGAGGGTGTAAGGCACAAATTTACATGTGGAAGAAAACAGGCTATTCACAGATATATTCCCACGAAAAACCCGTGTGATAAGACCATAATTTATGCATGGTAACAGCCGGCATATTAACTAGTTCACACTGTTTGAGGATTTTGTTTGCCGTCTCACATGCAAGGTGAAATGAGATGGCACATCACAAGCTGGTGCCTTCACAGAAAGTATTAGCTACTGACAAAGCCATGTTGATAGCAATGTTGCACAAATGTGCGGCTTTTAAGAGTTTCTCTTGCAGTTGCTTTAGAAGTTATGAACTTGTGGTATTTGTTTGTTGCTGTCTTAGGTCAGAGGCCCAGCTAGCTAATTAGCTGAGAGACTTAAATAGATATCCCCTTTTTTTTTCAGCTAATCAGGCAGTCCAGGCACAAAGTTCAGAATTCCAGCTCCAACTTATCTAACTCAGTGAATTTATTGGAAAAATAAAAGAGTTTTAATTACTCCAGTTAATGGGTTTCATGTTAAATAGCTATAACTTTCAAGGTACTTCTCTGAAGAGCTGCTCACAGGATGATATGCAGAAGTCATTTCTTTAGGAAAAACAAAAGTTGAACAATAAATAAGAGGAGTTACTTGTGTTAACAGTCACATGTTATTCATTAAAAGAGAAGGGTAGCAGAAATCTATGACATAATTTGCCCAACATGGCATTTAACTGCTGTAACCAAATGGCTGTAACACTGATGGACATCATTTCACAGTACCTGCATGTAGTAAACTTCCGCTATTGTTAAGTCAGAGTTAGCTTTATCAATGGATTCTTTTTTTTCTTCTTTTTTTTTTCTTTTTAAAATTTGTTTATTTTTGTAATTATTTGTTTTGCTTTTGAGAGCACTCTTTACCAGTTCAGGAATGCGCTGTGCAGTTGGGGGCGGGGGGGTGAAATGTCACAGTTATCTTTCACCTGTGTGCTTTTGGCTCAACGTTTGTGATGGAGGGTTAGTCTTTTGAGCAAAGAACTGGCGGGTTGTGGGGGTGAGTCCTGCCATTGCAAACCTTCAACCATGGGTCATATGGCTCGGGTTTAAAAAAATATTCCACTTTTCCCAGAGAGCAGAAATCCAACACATCTTGAGCTTGCAACAACCATCTTAGAGGAGCGAGCGACAACAGCTGCAGAACACTGGTTTTCAAGGGCAACCTCTGCTTAATTGCCATCCTCCCCCCCCACCACCCCACTCTGATTATGTACAAGCATCGTTGGGCTTCATGGACGTGGAGAGTGGAGCAAAGGAAGGTTTGGGAGGTACGTCTGGCTTTAGTGAGGGTGTGCGTTTCAACCCTGACCTCGTCAGCGAGTTGTAGGTGGTGAGACTCGGCTGCCGAGATACAGTCACAGCCTGTGCCTGAGCAGCGTGGACTTGTATGGAGTCCACTCGCTGCGGGGCCGGTGGTGGGTTGTCGCCCCGGCCGAAGCTCTGATTGCGGGAGAGGTGGGACGAGTTAGAGGAGTTAGTGTTGTTTCTTTTGAGGGTCGATGTCTGGTGACTTCTTGTGAGCGAGTTTGTAGGGTAGCTTCTTTTGTAGTCCACGCTGTAAGCAGAAGAGTGCATCTCCAGCCGCTTGCTCAGGGCACTCTGCGATAGTGAGGTGCTTGGAGGCCCAAGGGAAGCTTCCCGCTGGGGTACTTTTGGTGGCATGCTGTCAAGATTTTCCACCAGGTTAACCCCATGGCTGGGGCTTTTGCTACTGAGATGGTCCTTGATAGTTTTGTACTCAAGGGTGGCATTCTGGTCCTCCACAGACATCTGAGCCCCATCACTCATTTTTGGCTGGTCAACATATTCATGCTGGTAGCCTTGCTGGGCTATGGGCAGGACCACAACACTGGGAATGTGGCTAGGAGAAGCCCTGAGCGGCAGGTCGGTTGGAATCACGGGCGAGGCCATTGGGGGGATATCTTTTGTGCAGGCATTGATGAGGTTCTGGTTTCTCTCCCATTCCCTGCTGCCACGGCTGGGCTTTCTCTTCTGTTGCAGGGTTGGGGTGGACTCAGGGGTTGGCAGGGCAGCCAGGTCCAGATGGTGTTGGTCAGCTTTGATTAGCATCTTAGCAGTGCTGCCTGGGGTAGCCAGCTTGCCATTGTGCATCAGAGGTGTGAGGATAGCTTCAGGCTTTGGCTCCTTGGACTGAGCATCCCCAAAGAGGCCACTGAGCTTGGTAACGCTGCTCATGGAGCCACGGCGGGAGTGGGTCAGCTCCTTCTCCTTCCTCTGCACAACAGCCACGTCTCTGCGGCGATGGTCACAGATGCAGTACACTATGATTCCCGAGAAGACGGCCCCCATGACAAAAGCAAGAATAACAGCAATGGCCAACAGGGTGACGGGCACCAGCTGATCATGACCCTTCAGGTAACTCTCACGAATCACTCCTGCAATAAACAGCATAGAGTGGTTAAACAAACTAAGGACAGAGAAAAGCTACTTATCATTAACTAGTTTGTTCAAAGGCATGCCCTGGGAGGTTGGTTTGTGTTTTGCAAGGTGATCTTTGATCAGTTCACCCAAATTTGCAGACATACTATACCTGCCAGCTACATCTTGCACTTGCAGCCTTGGGCTTTCAGTACAGCTTTCAGATCTAGAGTTGAAGACTACAAAGTTCAGGAGGGGAGAGATAATTTACTTGCAGGGCAAGTGCAATCGGTTTGAATTCCTGGCCCTACGCAACTCACACTGACTTCAGCAGGTCAGAGCTATTATTTCTCCTCCTCTGACATACTGTTCATTCCTTCCCTCCCTCCATCTGATCTCTCTTCAGCTAATATACCATCTTGTTTTTACTATGGTAAACCACTCACATTGAAAAACCTTTACGAGGAGGAGACAGAACCTCTGCAAACATCAGAGAAGTGCATCCCACATTGTTTAAGACTTCTTTCTCTGCTCATAATTCTGTTATCTTTGTCATGTGTCTTAAAAGTCAGTGTCACATGCCTGAGCTTCAGAAGGATGCTTAAATAACTATGAAAGATAGATCACAGTGTTGAAATCTATTGAGCCTGCTAGATGACTGTCCTTGCTATTTTAATTTTAAAAGCTCTCTCTTGTTCTGAACACATGAATAGGTTGATCTCAGTGCTGAAGCCTATGCTTTCTCATCTGAAAACCCTGATTCTGAGGGCCTCGTCTTGTGGTCCTGCGCTGTGGTCAGGGATCACTGTCAAATCGTACTTGGCTCTCCAAGCGCCTGCTGTCAGAGAAGGCATCTTTGGCAGAGTATGCCTCCTCCATCTGGAGTCCCTAATACAGCATTAAACAATACCCTGAATTTCTGAAGAAAGTTTTTTCTGGTATAGCTGTGCACCAAGCCAGCAGCACTAATGAAATGCAAGCACAGAGCCTCTAGTTTGCTTTCTTTAATTTCTGGTTTTGTTCTTAGAGCTTAACGAGGAGCAGCCACAGCCTGACAAGGAGCTGAAGGAACATCTCTCCCACCTCCTCTCCCGAGAGGGTCCAAGCACCAGGGCATTAAAAGCTCCACATGCTCTAAGGAAATGTAATCCTTGTCTTTATTACAGGAGAGACAGCAAGACAGAAAACGTACCTCCGAGGCGCTCCTAAGACTTCGTGAAGATACAAAACTTTCATGTTGTAAATAACTCCTTCTAGAATAGTGTCTTTTCACGTATTTGGCAGAGAAGGGATTAGTGGCCCAGAATTAGAATCAAGTGCAAAATACTCCTCAGCAAACTATGTTAAAAGAGCATTGAAAAGTTGCCACTATCTCACAGAAACCTTTGATAAGTATTCTGGCTAGATATAGTATTGTTTCTACAGCATGTATTTTTCTGTCCCCATTTAATTACAGCGTTTAGGTGGACAAGAGATATTTGCTTATAAGATAGGAACTTTATATTTAAAAGCAAAACAGCTCTTGAAATCATAAGCCCCTGTGTGTGACATCACAGCTGGTTGCCAGGGAAATTATTGTGCTGTGACAAATAGAGGATTATGATTCATGAGGAGAATAAACAGCAATGATCACTTAGGAAAATAAGATCCAGCATTCATATAAATGTCTGAATAGTAAAAAAGTAAGAGGAGGAAAGTAAATATCAGAAAACAATATATAATTAGAAACAATCTTCAAATTAAGTGCTTAAGAGAACCTTCTTTTAAAGCCCAGCAGCTTTTTAAGAGGCAGATTTTTCTATTCTTTGTCATCAGCACTTAGCAAGCAGTGGTAGAACCTAGCTCTGTAATTTAAATCCACATACAAAATTGCTGTATATAGACCAGAAGCACAGTCTAGTGGTTACACCACAGTCAGCAGTAACTACATTTCACTGCAAAAGGTGGTCTTCTATGCACCTTCACCTGCTGATAGTTACACACTAGACTCTGCAGCATTTTGAGACCAAATTTATTTACACCTGTAAAACTGTCTGCTGTCATTAACTAGAGAATCAGAAATAGAGAATCTTAAATAGGTGGGAAGGATGGTCAGGGAAGTGTTAAGTCTTATCCAGAAATGCATTGCTGGTCATGAAGTTAAGGACAGCTTCAACTTAAAAAGCACAATGTCATGGACACCTTCCATGCACAAACTTGTCAGAGATATGGCCCTTTGAGCACTTAAGTCTGATGTTTTTTGCACGAAAAACACTCAAAATCCTTGCTCACTGCCTACCTAAGGGTGTAAGCACCTAGACTCAAACCCAGCATAGGTTCATGGAGGGAAAGTCATGCTTTACTATTTTAATATCCTTTTATGTATAGACTAGGGGAAAAGAGGCTGGAGTGCAGTCCTGCAGAAAGGGATCTGGCGGTTTTGGCTGATGGTAAGCTCAATACAAGTCAACAATGTGCCCTGGCAGCCAAAAGGGCCAACCATATAAAAATATTAGAATGTGTCCAAAGGAGGACAACAAAGATGGTGAAAAGATTGCAGGGCATGACTGATGAGGAGCAGCTGAAGATACTTGGTTTGTTCAGCTTAGAGGAGACCTCACGGCTATCTAAAACCTCCTCATGATGGGGAGCGGAGAGGCAAGTGCTGATCTCTCTCTCTCAGGTGTCTGTGGTAGGACGCGAGGGAATGGCTTAAAGCAGGCATCCACGCCTGACATTTCCTACTGGCTAAGTGAGGTTGTTCTACACCCTCAGCCTTCTGCTTCAGGATAAATCCTACTCTGCGAATGATAGCCTCAAGCACAAACCTGCACCACTGCATACAAAAGCAACATGAAATCTTCCATTTTACATTGCTGACATATATTGAATCATTACAACTCATGTTACAAAATTACCACACAGTTCAGACTGAGTGACTGTGTTTATTCAAGAAAGGGGCAGTTGAAATGACGTTGCTCACGCGGCAGGTGTTTTATCAGCAGAAATTTATGAGGGTCTTCAAACAGCCTGATTCCAGCTAGTTCCTCTTGAGCTCAAACCTTCCCAATGTTTATTATGTTTTCTATACTAGAGTTAAAGGATATTTAACATTAGTGGCTTTGCTCTAGGCAGGTTGACCTTCTCTGGACACAATGTCAGGTTAATGACATAATTTACTTTTTATCATGGATCACACCCCATCCATGTATCTTTAGTTATGCACGCAATCCCAACAACTTTAACTTAAATGAAGTAAGATGGGCAAGATTTGACCCTGCATTCATGTTTATGGAAATAGATACCATTAAGTAATAAAAAAGTATGAGGAATGTTCAGCATCCTACTGTCATGGGGGGG